CATATGTATATATATATATATATATATACATATACATATATATACATATATATATGTATATATATACATATATATATATATATATGTATATATGTATATATATATATATATATGTATATATGTATATATATATATATATGTATATATATATATATGTGTGTGTGTGTGTGTGTGTGTGTGTGTGATGTATATATGTATATATATATATATATATGTATATATGTATATATATATATATATGTATATATATATATATGTGTGTGTGTGTGTGTGTGTGTGTGTGTGAAATGAGTATGCTTGGTATCAAACACAAGTTTTTGTGCTTGGTAGTGAGGTGGCATATTCCCCTCCACTCATTGAAATTGATGCCGACGTTCATGTGGGTTGGAGAGTGGTTTGAAATTGGAATGAGTGGATGAGAATATGACAGCTCACTACCAAACATAAAAATTTATACTTGGTAGTAAACGTACCTAATTCTCTCTCTCTGTCCTAGGCCGAGTGCAGGCCCGGCTGAGCCCGGGTCGGACACCGGGCCGGGACGGGCCTTGTGCACAAATAAGCACCCCTAATCACCTTGCCCTCAAAACCGAACATCGCTTTTAGCGCGTCCGCTGTTCCTGCGTCACAACTGACGCCAAAATTGCCCCCATCATCTAGGGTTTTATCACCAACAAAGACGAGGGTTTTAGCCCTCCACTCCGATTTCAAACTCCATCACCAATGAAGAAGAAGAATCACAGGCCTGAAGCCCAATTCCGCCATGATCTCGATACCTGCTCAAAGAACAAAGATCTCAACGGCGCCCTCGATCTCTATCAATCCGCCCTCTCTTCGAACTTCAATCTCTCCTCGTACCACTACAACACTCTCTTGCATCTCTGCTCCTCTTCGATCGAAACCCTAGATCCATCTTCAAAGCAATCAAAGATTGGTTCAAGTTTCGAAATTTTCAACCGCATGATCGAGAGCGGTATAGTGCCAAACGAAGCGACGATCACGACGATGGCTAGGATTGCGGTTCAGAAATCGGAAGGCGGCGGGGATCTCGCTTTCGATCTGGTGAAAACGATGAAGGGTAAGTACGGGGCTGTTCCGAGATTGAGAACATTTGGACCTGCGATTTTTAGTTTTTGCAATGGATTGGAAGCTGAGAAGGCGTACGAAGTTGAGAATCATATGATTTCGATGGGGGTTTCGGCTGAAGAATCGGAGATTGCTGCATTGTTGAAAGTGAGCGCGAAGAAAGGGAAAGGGGAGAAAGTTTATGAGTATTTGTTGAAGTTGAGGAATTGTGCAGGGAGTGTGAATTCTTCAACCGCTGAAATTTTAGAAAATTGGTTTACAAGTGATATTGCAGTGGAGTTTGGGGCCGAAGAATGGGATTTGATGAGAATAAGAGATGTAATTTCGATGAATGGAGGAGGATGGCATGGATTGGGATGGTTAGGGAAAGGGAGATGGGACGTGAAGAGAGGGAATGTTAGCTCAAATGGGGAGTGTTCTTGTTGCAGGCAGAGATTGGCTTGTGTGGATGTTGAGGAGAAGGAAGCAGAGAAATTTGTGGAGTCAGTGGCAAGTTTGGCTATGGAAAGGGAAACAAAGTCTAATTTCAAGATTTTTCAGGTTAGATCGATCCTCTTCCTCTCTATCTAGGGATTTGATTATTCCTCTATGTTTTTAGGTAATGCAGTTGAGTTACATTGGAATACTAGTCATAAATGTAATGGGGCATAGGCACCATTATTGTGAGTAGTTTGCTTCTTATGGAAACTATAGTGCTTGCTTAATATTACAATGTCTCTCAGTATTTGCATTGAAAGTCTGAAATTGTATTTCAAACCTAAGACTATTCAAATGGAATAACATCTTAAAATGGAAAGAAAAAAAAACTTTTTAATATAAAGCTCATAAAAGATAGATTTAGTCAAAATTGGCCTCTCAAAAATAAGATCCGATACAAGTTCAGGCAATCTGCAATCTATGTGTTAGATTGTCTTGTCTCTCAGGATCTATGAGTTTTTATTTATATACAAGTAGTCAGTTTTTATCTGGCAAAGAGCAGCACCCTAACCAACCCATGTATTAGTTGGGTTAGACAGACTGATTTGATCTATATCAATTTATGCCCAAGTCCTACCTGGTAATTTATAATCGGGTTCAGATCAACATATAGGATTGTCATAGTTAATGCGAAAGATAGTAATTCCAGACTACAAAACTATGGTTCAAGATTTTAAGCATCACCTAATACTGTTACATATTAGTCATATTGTGCATATTTTAATCATGGTGGTTTGGCCTGCCAAACTCAACTGATGTTGCCAACATTAGCTAATAGTAACTGATACAAGTTAATATTGGCTAATAAAGTTTAATACAAAAAAGTTCTGAGGTTTTAAAATATAAATAGTTTATTTCATAAGGCTACATTGAGGTAAAATGAATAATGAAAGTAAATAATAGAAATATTATAATTAAACTCTAACCTTTTCCATCTAGCTATGTCATAGACTATGCCTATGATACCGATAGATGAATCCCAGCTGTGAATGTCCAACATTTTCCTACATTTTGAACACCTATATAGGCTTGCTTTTGTGTGCGTGTGTGAACAGGTTAGTGTATTTTATTCAATACCAAAATATGAAATTTGTACAAACTCCATGACGACAGAAAATAAAACCTCAAGGATAGGTTCAAAACAAAAAACCTGTCATAAACTCTATACGTATCACCATCTATACCGACGAAAGCTTTCAAGCTCAATATCCTCATCAGATCTGTACTGAATAACTTCCAGCTTCAACAAACATGTTCTCAATCAGAGCACAAATCAAAGCAAGCATCACCTGCAACTTTCCTCACAAACTGAGGTTGTAAATAAAACCTTGCATGCCAATTTTCTATTAGCCATAATATCATATATCTTTTCCACCTTTCTAAATTGAATCTTCAAGTAGAAAACATATTGACTTTTGATGGTCGCAAAATCTGGTTGAGATCCTCTAAAAACCATATTATTCCTCATTTGCCAAATAATATAAGTGCAGGCCTCCAATGCAGATCTATTAAATTTATCTTTAAAGCCCTTGCCACCCCATTTCATTAATACCCACGGAACAATAGTATTCCAATTAAAAAGACCAGACCTTCCTTGAATAAAATATGTAAACAAAACTCCATATTCTTCTAGTGATAGAACACTCAAAAAATAGGTGTTCAATTGTCTCTTCAACATGATCACGAAGTGGGCAACTAGTATCAATCTCAATGTTTTAAAAAGCTCCCGCGTAGGCCTAGGCCTAGGCATTACCTAGGCGCCGCTCACCTAGGCCTTGAGAATGCCTAGAGGAGCAGAGACCGCTTACGCAAACTGCACGGCTAGGTCTTTGCCTTGATTTCCTTTGTTTTTACCTCCAAGTCTTCTAACATCCTTCGAACTCCTTCGGCTTTCTCCACCTATACGAACACCTCCTCCAACTCCTCTGCTCTTCAGCAAAATCTCTTTCGCCACCACTTAAACAAAAATAGAAATCCTCCTAGGCCTAGAAACTAGGCGCCAGTTTAGCAGCTAGTGGTGCCTTCCTTTTTCGATAACATTGATTGTAATTAGAAAATGAAAAAAATAAGAAAATGCTTAGGCCCCGCCTAGGCTCTATGCGCCGGGTCCGACGCCTAGGCCACCTAGCGCTTTCTATAACCTTGATCAATACACTGATCAACCTGTAAGCCTCTTTTCCTCAAGTGAGTTCTAGTCAAAAGCTTTCCTAGCATATCAACCATAATATAAAAGAGTGTCATGGTAAATTTATTGCACTCCGCACAAATTTTCTTCTAAGTAACTTTAGAGAGGTTTGGCTTAAGAGTAGCATAGGCACCTCTTGAACTGAATTGAGGAGTCCTCGCCAGATAGTACCATCATCCCCAATATCAACAAGAATAGGAGCATATTATCTCAATTTAAGGATTTTCTTAATGACCCAGGAATGACCAAAGGAAACAGAGATATCCCAAATATTAGGTTCTTTGATATACCTCCCATGGATCCATTTCACCCATCGATTATCAGCCTTGAGAGCTATATATCAAAGGTGCTTATGCATCATAGAGTTGTTTGTAGCAAACACATCATGGAAACCAAGAACACATATATATAGTTATTTACTATACTTCAGTAAAGTTTGTTCATTTAACACTAGTGCTGTGGTAGGATGTTTTATTCTGTTTATTTTGGATTTAACTTAGTCTACTTTCTGTTTGTTTAGGAATGGTTGGAGAAACGTGCTGATTATGGAGCTATAGTTGATGGAGCAAATATCGCATTATATCAACAAAACTTTGCGGATGGTGGATTCAGCTTGTCCCAGGTTCGTTCATTGTTTACTGAATGTTTCTGCTATGCCTGACCTTAAACTTCTGTGTCACTATTGATGTTCTTTTGCATGTGTTCCTTTATAGAGCAGCTGGACGCTGTTGTAAGAGAACTTTATAAAAGAAACCAGAGTAAATGGCCGCTTGTTATACTTCACAACAAGCGTTACCGAGCACTCATGGAAAACCCTTCCAATAGGCAGCTGCTTGACACCTGGAGAGCTGAAGGAGCACTATATACAACCCCAAATGGATCAAATGATGATTGGTATGGTTTCCTGATAAAAATATTCCAAATGCACTACTGTTTACAATGAATTCTGCAACTTTGTTATCTCGGAGTTTATGCATAATACTGACTTGCTTTGTGAGAGACCTGGAATGAGACTTACGGATTTATAGTCTTATTTAGTTATAGTTTCTCAAAAATTTTATACTTCTAAATGAAAATATCAGAAAAGTTAATTCTCATCATATCTCCATAATATTTAACTGGTAAAAGAGATTGATCTTGTCATGTCGCAGGCCCGCGGGCCTGTTGGTGCATGCAAGCCGTGGGACCCACCAAGTGTAATGCACTGTTTGGCTAAATCCACTACCAAAATCGACTAGCCAATGTTGCACTTGAGTCTTGAGTTTACCTATTTAAGCCACACAATTTCACTGTAAATTCCCAATGTGGGACTATAAGTTGAGGTCTCACAGATCCTGTCCAACCATACTCTTATCTGCATGCAAAAATTAGAACCGTGATTTTATATCTATTAAATATTTCATTATCTTCACATCTATTTATAAGTTCTTTTTGTAGCATGCTGTTAGTCTCCTTCCATCTATTAATAAGATATACTTTGGGCTCTATTGTTTCTTGTCTAAATACAACTGTTATGATTCAGGTATTGGTTGTATGCAGCAGTTAAGCTGAAATGTTTGCTTGTGACAAATGATGAAATGAGAGATCATATATTTGAGATCCTAGGCAGGAGCTTCTTCCCCAAGTGGAAAGATCGACATCAGGTATGTGCTTTGGAGCACCTCTATCAGATTTATTTTCTTTCTAACATATATACTATGACATCAGCTATGTGCTTTGAAGCAAGGTTTTAAATATCATTTATAGGGGATTTATCAGACGGTCATATCGGATAGTGAAAATTGGGGATATATCAGCGATAAGTAGTATTTATCGGAGTGTCATATCGAAGGTGTGCATGCATAAAATAATATCCTAAAATATAACATTGAATAACATACAAGCAAATAACAAGATAAACTAACCAACTATAGAACCTTAATGAAATTTAAACACACCAAAATGTAAATGCACATGTTTAAGATCACTAACCAAATGTAAATACACATGTTTAAGATCACTAACAAATAATTCTAATAATTTTTACCGCTAATATCGGCCAATTTATTGGCTTAATTGCCGATAATTACCCAAAAATGATAACCAATTAAAATTTGAACTTATCATAGCGGAAGGGTCCCAAAACCATTAAATCGCTGATATTATCGATTTATCAGTCGATATTTAAAACCTTGCTTTGGAGCGCTTCTATCAAATTTATTTTGCTTCTGACATACATACTATGACAAAGGGTGATGATGCTTATCACCTCTAGTGATGATATTCCTTGAGTTTTAAGCTGTCATATTAATAAGTGGAGAAATGCTAGCCACAGTCGCGAGTGCACTACACTCGTACAGTGGCTGGGACATGTGCCTCATACTGGGACATGTAGGGACACACGTCCTTATTGCAGTGCAAGTGCAATGCACTCACGACTGTAGCTAGCACTCTTGTAATAAGTGATAATGCTACCAAATCACATAGTGTGGGCATTAGGATTGATTGATGTTTGCAGTAATGTCCTTATTATGCACATTGGTAGACTTCCTGGTTTATAATCATATAGGATTTGATGAGATAGTTAAGTCGGAACCATGAGTTACTGGTTAAGACAGATTTAGAAACTATCCAGAGCAAGAAAAAATTAACCAGTTGCTTGGTGCTGGTTTGTATTTTGTGTGAATGAGATGTTTTGCACATGGAAGAATCTTAGAATAGTTTATGAGTTTAATTAGTTTACTTGTCAGCATGTATGTTCTTAAATTTCTGAGGTTATTTGAGATTTATCTTATATTTGGCGTATGTTTTTGGTTGAACTTGTTAGATTGCTGGCCAAGTAAGATAATAAAATGGTTTCAATGCAGTGTTGATAATTTTGGCTATACTTCAAGGATCTATAGCTCTAAAATAGATTTGTATAATATCAATCTAACATAGAGTGAAGAAAATTTGGCTGTTAAATTTGAAAAAAAAAATTATAACCAAACAGTTTTTGCTGAAAGAAACTCAGACCTATCCAAACTTGATGTGCGCTTTAGAACTTCACAGTTAACAGTACATGCTTTTAAAATTAAAATAAAAGATCATTACATTCACTTCTTTCTTTCCTTTCTTTGTGATTTTTGCTCCCCCTCTTCTCTTCTCTTTTGGCATGGTGCTGGCATGATGAAATGTATGATTTTTCTTTTCTTTCTTCTCTTCGGGTGGTTTTTTTATGGTTGGGGGGTGGGAGGAGGTTGGGTGGTGTGGGGTGTTATGTAAGTTTGGGAGGGAGGAATTATCTATAAGTAGGCTTAAGCATACGGTCTGTCGGTCAGTTTTCGACCTAAATAATGCTAACCGAATTGAATCAACGTCCTGCTAAGAACCGAACTGCACCGAAGTGAGTCAGTTCTGGTCGGTGCGGTTTTGTCGGTTTGCACAGGAATAATGAGAATGTATACATCTTGTTATCTAAAGCCCAATGCAAGAACAAGCAACCTGATTACTCAAAAATCATTGATTCATTGATATGAGAAAAAAGCATATATCAAACAAAATAATAGAAAGAAAAACCATTCACTGTAAATTGATCATATATTTATCAATGTTAATTTCTTTAAGTATAAGCAACATGAAAATTTCAACTACAAGTCTACAATATGATAATTAACAACCATCAAAATCATACTGTTCTTCTATCTTTTACGCTAGCACAATCAAAATCAACTAGGATCAAATTTATTAAACAACAATCATCAAGTTTTATAGTAACAAAAGAATATTCATATTGGTTGGTGACGAAAAGGATTCATGAGAATAAAGAGATATATACCTCCACCGGCGCAGAGTTTAAAGTCGAAGATGGATATTGAAGGGGTGGTTCTACCATGATAAAGCTGTTGAACTATTATAGTCTTGACTCTTGCATATGAGATTTTCACAAAAGGATTCAAAGGGTTTAAACTTGAACCCGTAGTTGAGCGATAAAGTTGCTGAAGGGATGAGATTTTAGCTGAAGATTTTTTGCTAACCCTACAAGCTAGGTAATGGAGGAGAGGAGTGCAAGAGATGAAGGTTTCCACAATTTCTTGTGAGCAAATCGGAGGAAATATCACGTAAGAGCTTATCACGATTCATCACAATCACGTTTAACTGATTTTAAAATCACTCAGGTTTGGTATATTAAAACCGTATAACCCCACCCAAATACTTAACACACATATGTTTGGTCGGTTCAGGTATGTCGGGTTAAAAGTTTTTCAACCCAACCCGAACCGAATAGCACTTGAAACCGACCCAAACTGTTAAATATCATGCTGTTCGGTCAATTTTTGCTGTTTCACCTAAAATTTGCTCTCCCCTATATATAAGGCTTCCTAGTCAGGTGCTTCTAATAGATATCATAAGATAACTGGTAACGATGATCTCACAAAAATGTTAAGATTAAGTGAAAGAAAAAGAAGAGGAAATGGAGAAAGGAGGGGATAAAAGGGAAGAGAATAATGTATGGGGGCAGAGGGAGGAGTGAAACAAAGAAGAAAACAAATGATTAGAGCCAAATATCTCATGATAAATTTCGTATCTTTAACCAACTTCATATGTGAAGCTTGGAAGCTTCCTAACGACAGGTACAAGTTAGGCAGGTTGGATCTCATCAGAACAATATTGTGTTGAGCTGGTCCTGTGACAAACTAGTACATGCACGGTTTGGGTTTGTTGACCTAATCAAGTCCAGAGCAGAGGAACCAAACATTCTTTCCTCTCTAGCCTTTTGTCAATTGACAGGTATCAAGTGCTAGCAGGTTTCCGACTGTGTAGAATCTAATCACGTCTTCTCTGCTGCTGCCTGATTTACGTTCAAAGCTCCAATTCCTTTATGCTTTTGCTTAGTTGCAATTTATTCCGCTGTTTTCCATACCGTTCTCCTCATCTATTTTAATGGCACTGGGGACGTTACACAGGGTAATGGGGTACGTACATGCCATACTGAGAGCATGCTTAGTAAAAACACTTTGTATCTACACCGTTTCATTTGGAGGGTCCAAAACAGCCAGCCAATAACTAGACTAGACTGCTGGGGTTTCAGCCCTAAGATGTGAAGGGCTTCTTCAAACACTTGCTAGAAGTGTATGTGTTCCATGTTGAAGCTGCCAATGTGTCCTGGGTAGGAATATAGCTCTTCGATGATTGAAAGCTCCCTTTTGGCCATTTAACTTCATGTTTAACAATTGTGTTTTCTCCGAAGCCATTGAAAACTAGTACGATTTAAAATGGCCTATTCTGCATTCATGATCACCAATGTTTTAAAAAGCCTCTGCCTAGGCCTAGACGGTGCAACCGCTTGCCTAGTGCCTGGGTGATCCCTAGGCCGCCCACTTAGTTTTTGGGAGCGCCTAAGGGAGCACAGTCTGCCTACATGGACTACACCATTTAAGCATTGATCATGATTTCCTCCATTGCAGCCTCCATGTCCTCCAACCTCCTCCAAACTTTAACTATGAACACATTCTCTACCTCTTCAACCTTCAACAAAACATCCTCCGCTACCACTTAAGAAATCTACCTATGTGTCACTCCAGCACGTAAGCTTTCTCTAACATTGATATTTACTATCAATAACTGTAATTAAAAACCGAAAAGAAGGAAAACACCTAGGCGCCGCCTAGGCTTCCAGGCTCTAGGCGTCGAGTCCAACGGCTTCTGTAACCTTGGTGATTACAATGTATTCTTTTTTCTTTTATTTGTCCAAAATTCATCTTTCATACATTTTCATATTATAACCTTCCATAACATTCTCTTTCAGGTTCGGTATACATTCGCTAAAGGTAATTTCAGACTGACAATGCCACCCCCGTACTCTATAGTTATTCAGGTATTTTCAACGTAGCTTATATAAGCTTCACACTAGAACTGCACCTTGCTACTCGTTGTAGCTTGTAAAATTTTCTGCTCGAGACTTGTCTTTTTTTTTCCTGTTCTTTTAGGAGTCTGAGACAGGATCATGGCATGTGCCGGTAGAAAACCGATGCAGTGATGAGAGCACCAGGGATTGGCTTTGTATAACTAGACCAGAGTCGCACAATAGTGGCAAATCAACCCATGCAAAAGCAGAAGAGATGCATGATGCAGAGAAATTTACAGCTGAGAATGTGAATGGTGTGAAGAAATCATCCTCAGAGCTGCAAAGTGGTGTAGTTATACCTTTAACAGGGAAAAGGAAAGAGAGATCTCCATCACCTTCAAAGCCACCAGCTGGCTGAGATTTTTTTTTAAATTTATTTATCTCCTATGTTGTAACCGTAATGTTCTGGATGATTTTAGCATATGTCCTGAAACTAGAATTCAGATGGAGGAAAGAGGTCTCGTCACATATGTTCCTTTGGTGGCGTGAGTTCTCTTTTGGGCGAATATTCTGGTCATAAGTTGTAGTTCATGCTAGTAGGTCAGAGATAATACCAGACTAAATAAATTTTGAAATAAAATTTGCTTGTCATTTTTGTGATGTTCTTATCTAATGCATTTGTCTATTACTATGGATGCAAGCAACCATTTTCTTCTCCTCGCCTATCTGGTCTTATTTTGAGTCCACAATAAGGATGAAGTAGCAGACTCATCCTTAAGGCATGTGCTGAGCTTCCAAGTTCTCTTCTAAAGTACCAGTTTACATATTTTGTCTCTTAAGCTATGCCAACATGTTAATTTTACAGGTCTACAGCCAAACATTTGTAGATCAATAACGTGATGATATATATTTTTCTTTGAATATTTATTTCTAGGTTCTTATCGGTTTTATCTCCTATTGTCCCAAGCTAAAACACACTTTAAACGACTTTTCCTTTTTGCCCTTAAACCATTTTTATGAATAAGAAAATCATTTTTTAAACAAAAAATACAAGAAATCCTTAAAAAAAACATTATCGTGTTGCCCGTATACATAGTTCAAGGGAGAAAAAAAAAAGTAAATTGACACTTTAACGGCCAACTTTAGTGTTTACCAATACTATCGCAGTATCTCGTTGCCCATAATATCAAGAACGGTGTTTTCTCGTTGCCCATAATATTAGGAACGCTGTTTTGGATTAATACTTCAGTATCTCGTTGCTCATAATATTAGTAACGTTGTTTTGGGTTCATAATTCAGCATGCTACATACATACAAGAAAAACTGTCTGCCTTGAATCGTCAAGAGTCCTGGTGTCGATATATGGACCGTGCACTGATTTTGGAATACAACGATACGGTTACGGTACAATTAATTTTCAAGGAGTATGTCATTCCCTAAACTTTCTACACAACAGGACACTAGGACTTCTGCCATCAACCATCTCTGCCTTGCTAGCAGCGTTACATATCTCAGCGATTTCATGGATAATATAACTAATCAATCTTGGATGATATTTTAATTTACCAACATTTAATTCTGCCAAATTTTAGTCCAACTTACAAGTGGCAAATACCGCCTGTGGACGAATTAACTCCAGGATTCAGAATATGGCAACAAATTACACTTTTTTGTGGGATACTAATCAAAGTGACAAGTTGTTATTCCGAGTCTGCAAGTGATTATATGAGCATTGCTAAGGAGACGACGACTTCTATCCACACAAAAAAAAAACCATAATAATATTAGTTCCTGAGTAATATCAAACTCTCCCTTAAACTCGCCCTATATAAGGGATGCACATGTTTCACATCAAACACGTATCTGAAGTACCGAGTCATATCAAACTCTCCCTTAAATATAAATAATCTTGCATACATCCTTGTCTTCAGCTCAAGCAAAAAGCATCATTCCTCTTCTTCATCTGGTCAATAAAAATTATATGATAGCGCAGCAGTAGCGCAAAATGCAGCAGAAACAAGGATATGCTTGGAGCTGTTTTCTTAGTTCCCCATCGGTTGGTGCTTGAAACAAAAAAGAGCAAACCTTTCATCTCTTTTATATCCTTGCTCAAGCAATTGCTGGAAGCCATCAAGAGAACATAAACATCTCAATCATTTAGCTTCTAACTAGTGATTCATGTTCTTTAGGAGAAACAAAGGCAGCAGGTTTTGCTCAATGGAGTTTTGGATTTGCAGCAGCTTGCCCACTACCTGAGGCCGGAGTTTTTGTACTAGTACCCCCATCTTGTGTTCCTATCATAGACTTCTTGATCTGGAAGAGATTCAAGAAAAAATTAGTTTAAAAATATGTAGAAATCAGAATAACGCATCCATCTAAGCACTAAATTGCTCACTAGGTTTTTGTGCATGGATCATCCTACGAAATAAGGTTTAAGATCCTGTCAAGTAATAGCCTTTGCATAAAACTTAGAGAACAGATGTTGTTAAATGAAAATTGATACAACGCGCATCCTTTCAGAGCCAATAGTTTGAGCTAACAAGAGTTGTAATAGTTTGACTTTTGTTGGATGTTTGGATGAGTGAAAGTAGGTAGTTTACAACTCAGTAATTGGTTAGAGGAAAGAGAAATTCTCGCAAAAGATAGGAAGAAATGGCCACTAGGAAGTTGGTGGCTAAAAGTAAAGAGCAATTCCATCAAAAGATTAGATGAAAATGGCCACAACAAAAACAGTTCTGATGCTGATATTGGAATGCTCCCAACATAACATCCATTGCATAATGCTTTCGAGAAAACATCCATCTTATAGTTACATCTCCACTCAAGTATAATTTAGGGTATGTGGTAAGAGTTAACATTTTTGCTAATTATTCTAGCCAAACAATATATGTGTTCACAAACTTGAGAATCTAATTGAGCCCAAAAAATCATTTTCCTTCCAGTTTGGCGTTTTCTATGAATATGAATGGTCAGGTGTGTTCCCACGTCTCAGCTCATCATTAGTCACCCTAAAATGAATAGTTGCTAATATTAGGCTTTACCTACTGAAAGATATCTTTTCCTTTTTCACTTGGGCATCAGTTAATGTCCTCCTTTTTATACAATTAATGATTTACATGTGGTGTCAGAGACTCATAGTGGGTTTATATTCATGCATTTTATACTACTGCGCTCAAAATTATTGATCATAACATTTAATTCTGTGCATATAGACTATGCGCTCAAATTATTGGTCATAACATTTGATTCTGTGCATATAGACTACAGTAATCAATGATCTTCATACACATACTAGCTTAAATACTGTGTGTTTACTCTAATATGAGTGAGTGATTGGATGGTACTCTTCAACCATGCGATTAAACTAAAAACTGAATTTTATACTGCTGCGCTCAAATTATTGGTCATAACATTTAGTTCCTTGCACATAATACTCTTCAACCATGTGATTTAAACTAAAAACTGAATTTTATACTGCCGCACTCAAATTATTGGTCATAACATTTGGTTCCATGCATATCGCAATCAATGATCTTCATACGCATACTTGCTTAAATGTGTTGGGAAATTACCCTGATTCCCCTATTGCCAGATTTGAGAGAAAGCGAAAAATAAATGCGCAAAATTGGGGGACACGCAAGATTTACGTGGTTCGGCACAAAATTGCCTACGTCCACGGACTGCTGCAGATCTTATACTGAAAGGGGGAAAATTACAAGCACTCTGAATATTGCTCTGATATTCTCACTGAGTGCTCTCTTTCTCTCTCTGTTTTTCACTCACTGAGTTTTCTCTGGCTCAGTACTCTCTCTTAGCCTCTCTACACATTTTCTCACTGCCTTGGATTTTCTTTTTCTTAGCAGTTGATGGATGGTTAAACAAGGGAAGAGGGGTGGGGGTTTTATAGCCTGAGTACCCCCTTGTTTTCTTCCTGCCATTTGACAAATGGCCTCGTCATTTTCTTCCTCTTTCAAAAATTGCGGCTATTGAAAGTCCTCCTCCCCTTTTTGATTACTAAAGGTCCTCCTCCCCTTTTTGATCACCGAAGGACCTCCTCTCCTTTTTGACTAACAATCTCCCACTTGAAGACTGATTTCAATCTGTCTTCACATCTCGATCTGTGCAGCAGCTCTTCCCTGATCTTGTTATTGTTGCAGGCCAACTGAAGCTGAACACAGCTTCAGTTTGTCAATAGTCACCGTCTTTGTCAGCATGTCTGCCGGATTTTGAGCTCCACTGATTTTTTCAAGCTTCAAAATTCCATCTTCCAGAAGTGACCGGATAAAATGATACCGCATCTGTATGTGCTTCATTCTGGAATGGAAAGACGGATTCTTCGCTAGATGAATAGCACTTTGACTGTCGCAGTATAAGACATTGTCTTCTTGTTTCTTGCCTAATTCATCCAAGAAATTTTGAAGCCACACCATTTCCTTGCTGGCTTCTGTAACAGCGACATATTCTGCTTCAGTTGTGGAGAGAGCAACTATCTTCTGCAGTTGAGAAGCCCAACTCACTGCAGTACCTCCTAGAGTATATACATACCCTGTAGTGCTCTTTCTGATATCAACATTTCCTGCTAGATCAGCATCTACATAGCCTGTTAGTATTGTATCTCCACCTTTGAAACAAAGTGCTTTACCTGTGGTGCCCCGTAGATATCTGAGGATCCATTTGACTGCTTCCCAGTGTACCTTGCCCGGATCATTCATGTACCTGCTAACAGCTCCCACTGCTTGAGCAATATCCGGTCTTGTACAGACCATGGCATACATCAGACTTCCAATTGCTGAGGCGTACGGGACCTTCGCCATGTGTGCACGCTCTTTCTCTGTCTTCGGTGACTGATCTTTGGAAAGTCTGAAATGAACACCTAAAGGTGTACCCACTGGTTTTGCATCTTGCATGTTGAACCTGGAGAGTACTTTGTTGATGTACTCAGCCTGTGATAACATCAAAGTCCCAGACTTCGTGTCTCTCTTGATCCTCATTCCAAGAATCTGCTTTGCAGCACCAAGATCTTTCATCGCGAACTGATTTGACAATTTTTGCTTCAAATTTATAATCTCTTGCAGATCTGATCCTGCAACGAGCATGTCATCAACGTATAACAATAAAATAATGAAGCTATTGTCAAACCTCTTGATATAGCAACAATGATCTGCTTGGCATCTAGTGAAACCGTTGCTGCCCATGAAGTTGTCAAACTTCTTGTACCACTGTCTGGGAGCTTGTTTCAATCCATACAAGCTCTTCTTCAAACGGCATACTAGATTTTCCTTGCCTGCCTTCATGAAGCCTTCTGGTTGCTTCATATAGATCTCCTCCTCCAAATCACCATGAAGGAAAGCTGTTTTTACATCTAACTGCTCAAGATGTAAATTCTCAGCAGCTACAATTTTCAACACTAATCTGATTGTAGTTAGTTTCACAACCGGAGAAAAAATTTCATTGTAGTCGATACCTTCCTTTTGCTGAAAGCCTTTGACAACCAATCTTGCCTTGTAGCGCTTGTTCCCATCATTCTCTTCTTTGATCCTGTAAATCCACTTGTTATGAAGAGCTTTCTTACCTTGTGGTAATTCAGCTAAGTCCCACGTCTGATTTGACATGAGTGAGTCCATCTCATCTTGCATAGCAGACTCCCACTTGACTGAATCCTTCACCTGTATTGCTTCGTCATAACACTCCGGTTCACCACTGTCAGTCAGCAACAGGTAGTGCAAAGAAGGCGAATAACGCTGGGTTGGCTTAGGAATTCTGGAGGAGCGTCTCACTTCTGGCGTGCTTGGTTCTTCTTGAACTGCTTCAGGGCTAGTCTGAACATCTTTTTCAGAAATCTCCTCAAATTCAGCAAATTCCTTTGTTTCAGCTTTTGTACTGGAGCTACTTGATTCTGCAGTTGATCTGTCTTTGTACATCACATTCTCATTGAATATGACATCTCTGCTTCTAATGATCTTCCGATTTTCATGATCCCAAAATCGGTAACCAAACTCATCACCACCATAACCAACAAAAACACATTTGTTAGATTTGGCATCAAGTTTACTTCTTTCAGCAGAATCTATGTGTACATAAGAGATACAACCAAAAATTCTTAAATGTGAAAGGTTTACCTCTTTTCTGCTCCAAGCTTCTTCCGGTATTCCACCATCCAAGGGAACTGAGGGTCCGCGGTTGATTAGATAGGCTGCGGTATTGATAGCTTCAGCCCATAGGAACTTGGGCAAGCCGGCATGTAACCTCATGCTTCTGGCACGTTCATTCAAAGTTCTGTTCATGCGCTCTGCTACGCCATTCTGCTGCGGTGTCATGGGAACTGTTTTCTCCATCTTGATCCCGCTGTTTGCGCAAAACTCTTTGAATCTACTGTCTTTGTACTCTCCTCCATTGTCTGACCTCAACCTCTTTATCTTCAAACCAGTTATATTTTCCACCATGGCCTTCCATTTTCTGAAGGTATCAAAGACTTCTGATTTCTTCTTTAGAAAATAAACCCACACCTTCCTTGTAGAATCATCAATGAAGGTGACATAGTACAGTGAGCCTGCAAGAGATGAAACTGGAGATGGTCCCCATACGTCGGTATGAATCAATTCTAACCTTTCTGTCTTGGGTGTCTTGCCAATCTTTACAAAACTGACTTTCTTCTGTTTGCCATTTTGACAGAAGTTTCTTCATCCCTTTCTCGCTCATATGGCCAAGCCTTTGGTGCCATAGGTTTGATTTTTCATCTGCATCTGTTACTGCAATGATATTCTCTAAGTTAGAGGTTATATAGAGAGTACCACTTTTCTTACCTCGAGCAATGACGAGTGCTCCTTTGGTAATCTTCCATTCATGACCCGAGAAGGTTGTACAATAACCCTCTCCATCAAGCTGTCCCACAGAGATCAAATTTCTTCTAAGACCAGGAATATGTCTCACTCCTTGCAGCTTCCATGTGGTCTGATTTGGCAATTTTAATCGAATGTCTCCCTTGCCAACAATCTTCAAGGTTTCATCATCTGCTAGATGTACCTTTCCGAAATCACCGCTGACGTAGTTCTCCATGATTTCTCGGCATGGGGTGGAGTGGAAAGATGCCCCTGAATCAAGAATCCATGATTCAATCGGACTGTTGACGCTTAGAATCATAGCATCACCTCCTTCCTCGGTCACGTTGGCAGACTCCTGTGCGCCGGTGTTTTTCTTCGGTGCCCGACACTCCCTCTTGAAATGACCCTTCTTGCCACAATTGTAGCACTTGAAGTCTTTCTTTCCTGATCTAGATTTGCTCCTTCTAGATTTTGATCTGCCGTGATTTGAACTTCTTTCTGAAGTTCTTCCCCTAGACTCCGTGTGTAAAGCTGAGGAGGTTGAAGCTTCACCCGATTCTCTCCGTCGGATCTCTTCACTAAGAACCAGATCACGAACATCATCGAACTTCAACTTGTTGCTTCCCGATGAGCTACTCACAGCCGTGACTGTAGCGTTCCAGCTTTCTGGTAGAGAAGAAAGAAGTATCAATGCTCGTACTTCTTCATCAAATTCAATCCCAACTGAACTCAACTGGGTTGTGACTATGTTGAGTTCATTGAGATGTTGAGCTGTCGATGCGCCTTCCGTCATTCGCAAATTGAACAGCCGCCTCATCAAGTGAACTTTGTTTGAGGCAGAGGGCTTCTCGTACATGCTGCAGAGAGCCGCCATAAGACCCGCCGTGGTCTTTTCCTTTGCTATGTTGAAGGCAACGTTTCGGGATAGCGTCAATCGGATAACTCCAAGGGCTTGTCTGTCGAGGAGAGCCCACTCTTCATCCTTCATATCATCTGGCTTCTTTCCCGAGAGAGGTTGATACAGCTTCTTCTGGTACAGATAGTCTTCGATCTGCATCTTCCAAAAGCCGAAGTCCGCACCATCGAACTTCTCAATTTTCACCTTCCCTTCATCTGCAGCCATCGCTCCCACTCAAATCTGACTTCCTCTGGATCGTTTCTGATAATTTCTGCGAACCACCGTGTATTAAGACACCTCTGCCGACAAGTCAGTACCGCCGGCAAAATTCCACTATTCACGAAATTTACTATTCACGTGAATAGTAACATTGCAGAAATTTGACAGACGTCACAACCAGAGCTCTGATACCAGTTGTTGGGAAATTACCCTGATTCCCCTATTGCCAGATTTGAGAGAAAGCGAAAAATAAATGCGCAAAATTGGGGGACACGCAAGATTTACGTGGTTCGGCACAAAATTGCCTACGTCCACGGACTGCTGCAGATCTTATACTGAAAGGGGGAAAATTACAAGCACTCTGAATATTGCTCTGATATTCTCACTGAGTGCTCTCTTTCTCTCTCTGTTTTTCACTCACTGAGTTTTCTCTGGCTCAGTACTCTCTCTTAGCCTCTCTACACATTTTCTCACTGCCTTGGATTTTCTTTTTCTTAGCAGTTGATGGATGGTTAAACAAGGGAAGAGGGGTGGGGGTTTTATAGCCTGAGTACCCCCTTGTTTTCTTCCTGCCATTTGACAAATGGCCTCGTCATTTTCTTCCTCTTTCAAAAATTGCGGCTATTGAAAGTCCTCCTCCCCTTTTTGATTACTAAAGGTCCTCCTCCCCTTTTTGATCACCGAAGGACCTCCTCTCCTTTTTGACTAACAAAATGTTGTCCGTGTTTACCCTATTATGAGTGATTGGATGGTACTCTTCCACCAAGTGATTAAACTAAAAACTGAATTGTATAATTTGAATTGGCAAAACGTAAAGCCACAAACTTTTCCCTTTATTCTTATTGTTCTCGAAGATTTCAACTGATTAGCTATCATATCCATTGATTATGTGGTGCCAGCTATTAACATGCTTAATAGTGAAAAAATTAAAATAGGCTACCATGGAAAATTTTATGAAGGAAATAATCAAACTGGTGACCAATGATAAATAATAATAATAATAATAATGCAAGTATAAGAAAGAGAAAATGCAGAAACACTAACTGAGGATTGCAGTATTAGAACCAAACATACCATTGCAAGCCTCTCTTTATGAATATCATTTGTGGACTGCATGTCATCCCAAAAAAAAAAATAAGCTGAGGAAAACAATTAGTAGAAGTTCCTTTCAGAAGAAAGGAGCAGCCTTGCAACTGCTAAAGTCATAATCATTTATAAAAACAATATATATTGAAATATCCTACCGGCTTCTTGTAACACTTGATCTCATCTCCGCTAAAGCCAGGCAAGGACATATTCCAATGTCTCTCTGCAAAGTATAATAAAGGATTTTATGGTTGTAACTATGGAATCACATAAGAGGAAATGGGAGGGACCTGAAACCCAGCCACATCAGATAAGGTGCCATTATAAAATTCTTACCTACATGTACAAGTATGTCCTTCGCTTCTAATGTAGTTGATTTTCGATGCTTAGCCAAATGGCAAGCTGCTGTAACTATCTGTAATGCCAAGAAATATCATTAGGAAATATGCATCACTTAATGAACAAATAGAGAGTTTAGGAAATAGACATGTTAAGAAATATCTTTGATATGCAAACTACAGATATTAAAGAACGTCCACAAGTATATCAGAAACCATATTAAGGTTGAAATATTAACCATACAAAAACTTTTTTCCCTCGCAAAACTTCATGTGGATTCTCATAATCAATGTCAGGGTTCTGTCAAGAACAGATTTTTCTGCGAAACTAGGGAAAAGAGTTCCAAATAGGTAAAGTCATACGGCTATTGTCAATGCACAGGAAGACATAATTGATTATGAGGGCAAAGGAATAGTTTATTTCTTATTGTTAGTAACACAATAATCTTCAATGAGAACAGGAACTCACAGATTCAATGAAATCATCAGCAATCTCCAGGAGGTCATCTTCAATTTCAGGACGCAACTTTTCAGACCGATCAACCTGTTGAAAAAGAAACTACACTGAATGAATATTGTACCCTAGGAAACAGTTGGCAGAGCAATATACACATATACTTGGAATACACGTCTAAACAACTAAGAAAATATTGGATATTGTCACAACAACGTCTTCTCTTGCAAACATGAGCGATTAGACATACTATGGTTCAAAATTATAATGCAAAATGCCATTTGAAAAGGTGAAAACAATAGCACTTTGATGTGAATTGTAAGGCATAGAAAACGGTTCTGGCACCACCTTGCATGGATCGATGACATAGCGACGTAATATACATTTATAAAATCTTGAAATGAAATACGATTTTGTTCTTATGATATTTTTTTCCCAACATCATGGAGTGATTGTGAAAAATTGAGTAAGTGCATAAGGATTGCTTCGACAATAGATTTCTAATGTTCTTGGTCAGTGACACACTAGCAAAATTATCTGATAGTACTTTTCACTTTCCCCGAATCATACAAGTGTACAATATATATATACATACATACCCACATGCATATATGCACATATATACATACACAGCCACGTGCATCTATGCACATCACCATATCTATACATATTCAAGGATGGATGTGTGCATGGGTTTGCATGTGTAAATGTTAATTATCTATATATCCTTGTAAATATGACAAATGGTGTGGCCTTCAAGGCATTTGTAAATTACAACTACCCAAGTGCCTCTTGGAGCTGACCTTCAAATCACTTCTTAATAAATTGACACGTATTCATGTATGTAAAATGCTTACATAGTTATGTATAATTGTATACTCACACTGGGTTCATTATTAAAAGTCACAAAAGCAAGTTATAAGTTCAGAGCATATGGCAATAACAAAAGGAATTTGGTATCAAGGTTGAATAAAGGGGTTTTACTTTCCAAATTATAGAAGTAATTCACATTTAGGTAGTACCGCATAAGAGAAGCGAATTAATTCTTAAAGAGAAGATCCAACCTGTGTTACCAATTCTCGTATACGCTTCCTGCTTATAATATCATTACTGATCTCTTCAGTATCATTAGATCCCAACCCAGGTTGGGCCAAAGCTTGAACATTTGACTTTTGCACTGTAGGTACAAGAGCTTGTGAAGCTTGATGTTGTGAAGGAATATTTGGTTGATTCCTAAGTGGATGGTTGTCTTGTGACTGGTTTTGCAGTGAGCTTTGCTGTTGCATATGCTGTATTTGTTGTAGTTGGTGTTGCTTCTGCTGCTGTTGCTGCTGAGAAATTGATGTTTGTTGGTGATGCTGTGGAAGATGAGGCCTTTGCTGCATAGTTGGTGGTCTCATCTGGGGTCTGTAAGAAGAGGAAGGTAAAGAAGCTACATTTGATTGTTTTGCTTGGGATGACATCCACTGCTGATGAAGAGGTTGGGAACTTTGTGATGCAAGTGATTGGGTAACGGGAGAAGTAATGGAAGGACCTCTTGGGCCAAGATGACTCGGGAATTTCTGCAGCAAAAAGAAAAAAAATGAGGACTACTTTTTCATCCGAAATGATTTCCAACAATAACATTAGATATGAGCTTCTACCTCCAAGAAAAAAAAAATCAGGGTAGAAATAATTGTGGAGCAACATGAGAATCAAAGGCATGGAAAATAATACAACCAATAAATACAAGATTGTCTTAGCGGGCAGGTTTTTTCTTATTTTGGTATTTAAAAGCTCAAGAACATGCAATGGTGCAACCCATTATAGAAGTTAAAAGGATCAATAAGTCAGAAATCAACTGCTAAATACAAGATTTTAAAGCCAATCAAGTGTAATATTAATTTTCCCTGAAATCATCTGAAGGATGATGCACGAAAGTAAAAACATCAATGAACTGCAAAAAGGGGCAACGAAAAAGAGGAAATCTTCACTCCTGATCCTTCCAAATTAAAAGGAATAACAATATGCACTTCAAGACTTTATAAATTACCTTAAACATTCATAACATTCATGATACAAAAAATGCCAGAAGACCAAGAGCATTAAGAGCATTGTTTATGACAATTCATATCATTGTAAGTTTGTTTAGATGCAAGTTTCACAAAACTACCATACGCTTTGTCGAGTTTTGCACAAAACTACCATAAACTCTTTTTAGTAGAGAAACTATTAGGAACTTTTTACTAAACTTTGATAGCTGGTGGCAGCTAGGATAGGTTGTAATCCTCTTCACATGTGATATTCTCTATTACCATCATTGTCATAGATGCTAATAAAGGTAGTTTAGACCTTCTATCAAAGACGTTAACAACATTAGAAACAGATTCCTATGGTTCATAACACTTTTATGTAGTTTTCAACGTTCATGGTAGCTTTCTCTAATAAAAAAGTTATGTTAGGTTTGCGCAAAACCCCCCAAAGTTCATCGTAGTTTCTTGAAAATTACCCTGTTTAATATAAACATTATGGTATCCTATTTTTGTACTTCAATCAGTTCTTTCTTTGCATGACAAGTGGAGTCAGAAGTGCTAACAAAAGGCGGAAATAATGGAATTAAAAAAGAGATTATCAGTACATACAGATTTACCAACTTACTTGAGAGTTTAAACCCTGGCTAGGTGGAGTCACCGATCTAAGTTGTGGCTGACCAAGTCTCTGCTGATTTTGCCCAAGAGCCCCAGTAGGTCTCATCTGAGAAGTACTCAACGAACCAATCATCCCTATTGTCTGAACTCCAGGAACAGGTTGCCTAGCCTGAAAAAATATCATCATGTAAATTTATAAAAATATAACTTTCAATGCACCCCAAAAGACATTATTTTGCTTTTATCGCATCACAAGCGTGAAGGCAAAGCTCTTAAAATACTACCACCCTTCTTCTTGAAAATAGATATCCAGCATCATGTCCTCAATATGTGGGAATTCATGAATAAACAGAACCTTCGGATGGGGTAACCGCATCATTTTCTGCTCACTTTTACTATTTTATGAAATTAACTCCGCTAGTCTTTAATCACTATATGATAACTTCGGCAAAATAATTGAATGAATTAGAATTTGATAATTTCAAGGAACAAGCAAAGTTCCTTCAAATTGTTAGGATGGTGCAACCACAACATTTAGCAATGAATAGACCCTTAGGACAGTACAACCACAGCATTTTATCCACGCGCCGAAGGGCTTGCTTACATTTGCACCAAGTGAAGGGAAGTTAGGAGAACTTATGATAAGTTAAGTTAAAGGTAACATGTAAAACTTATTTGGGAAATTAATGAGAGGAATCAAGGGGAACTAATTTCACCCCGAAGGTTACAAAAGTTTTATACTCTGTCTTCAGATTGTCATATTTATTGGAATTGAAGGTGGGGAAAAAAAAACTGAACTTTTACTTGATTGAAAACGCACCCACCTGATCGGGCCCACCAACAGAACCCCTCGGCACTGCAGCAAAGGGCTGCATATGAGAAGAACTCGGGCCGCCGAACGGACGAAAAAAGGAACAGACGACGGCGGCGTGATGATGCGAATATCCAGCAGGAACTCCAATCCCTCCTCCGCCGAGGCCGCTTCTTGGGATCGGTTGGGTCGGTGGCCGAGGCCGCGAGATCGCCGGCAGAGTCCGCTGCTGCAATTGAGGAGGTTGCTGAGGCTCTAGGGTTTGGGATTGAGCAGGGCTAGGGCTAGGGTTTGGGGATGGGGCTGATGATGCTGGTGGTTCGATTGGGGTAGAAGGCGGCGGATCTGAGGACGATGACGGTGGTGGGTCCGAGGAGGGGGCGGGTGCATCTGTGGGTGCGGATGTTGATGGTGGCGTTTCCATGGATTTTGAATTTATTTGCTGTTCGGTTCTTTTGGCTCTCTTCCGTTTTTATTTCTGGGAGAAGAGGCAAAGGGGCGGGGCATAAATACCCACCCTTCAACTTAAATTTCATATTTGCAGTTTTTAACCCCTACAGATTTTGCAACTGTTTCCTTTTATCTTCGAAATCTTCTTTGCAACTAGTTAGCAGTTATACTATGTACTATGTCTAAGAAAAAGGACTTAAAAATTCAATCAAGGCAAAACCTCCTTATTTTTTTGATTTATTGTTTTCTTCCCTTTCGAATTAAATTTCTTATAGCAGTTTCAACACGTAAAATTTTTGTAACTGCTTTCCTGTTCTTGTTTTTTTTTTTTTTAATTTATGAAAAACTTCTTTTAACTGGTTATTAAAACAAAATTAAGATGTGCAGAGTGTTTTCGCCAAAAGTCGAATTTGTTGTCGAATTCATTATATCTTCGGTCGATTACAATAAATTCAAAGAAAACAGCCTTTTTATAAGACTCTTTTACACAACAAAAAGAAAATTACAACTCTTGAGAAAATAAACGCAGGATCGTTGTTTGGATCACTGCTTTCGTGGGATCTTTGCCTGTGCCGGGAGCGCTTTGACTCGTGGACCACCAAGTCACAGATTCTGATTGAACCGTGAGGGGTTTATGATTCTGACTTCGTTTATCGAAGTGAGAAATTGAAACGATATCTTATCGATGTAAGATAGTCGTTCTTCTTGAAATCAAGTCAAAGCTCAATTTCAAGGATTGGCCGTAAGATCAGCACCTCTGCTCTCTCTCTGCCCTGGATTGCTCTGGATTGCTCTGAAGTGCTCACAATGATCAGCCTTCTGGAAAAATGGCCTTAGGAGGGTATTTATAACCTCCAAGAACAGTTGGTAGAAAACAGGTTCGCGAGACAGTGTTTGCTGTCTCGCTGGGCGAGACAGTGTTTGCTGTCTCGGCCCGTGAGACAGTAAATTTGCTGTCCTCGAGACCGCGACGACATAAATACTGTGTCGAAACAGTAAACCCGCAGGCAGTTTTTCGTTTTAACATGTCTCGCCAATTTCAAACTCCGTTATTTTCGCAGTTATCCACTGATCTCGGCCCACGGAGTTTCCACGTTCTTGAACGTTGAGTGGCCACGTGTAGGCGCAGTTCAAAGGTATGTTTTGACCATCTGGATAACTGTCTTACGTGTGAGACAGTAAATTCTGTCTGCCGCCCGGCGAGACAACGCAAGATGTCTCGCGTGGCGAGACAGTAAACGAGTCTGTCTCGCTCTGCAGAACAGTGAAGACTGTCTGCACGCGAGAAGGTAAAACTGTCTCGCACGGCGAGACAGTCAAGTCTGTCTCGCGTGCGAGACAGTAAAGACTTATGTTCTTCTGCCTTTTTGGATGATTTCCTCTTGAGCTGTATTTGGATATCTTTCAGCATTTTTTGACGCCTACACAGAGAGTAAAGGGAGATGAACTTGAGACCCCTTTCAAAGAAACCCCACGTGCCCTCCCCCTTCGACTTTTTACCTCCGAACCTTCTTAATGGATCACGGGATTAGTTCAGTGACGGTTGAAATTAATCAGACTCTATATCATAACAGACTGAATTCAATGATCAGCCCTTGAATCCTTCCACTAGTGGCAGAAAATTTTCTCAAGCAAGTTCAGGTTTCATGAAAAATCCACGTTCTCATACTGTCAAAAGGACTACCCTTGATGATATCCAGCGTAAGCGCCCGTGGTCCTGCCGAGGAAAATACAGCTATTTTCAGGTGCCGGTGTTGAGCTCATGACATTAATAGCCTCTGAGATATCTCCAGCGTGGTTCCTGACATCAAACAAAAGCCCATCGGCTTATTTAACTCCGGGAGCGAAATGGAGTCGACAAACTTGATGTTTCTTAGATCTTGAGCTCACTTACAACTTAGAGGAGATGTGCGCAAACGACAACTGAGCCTCGGATGACAAATTGGAATGCGACGCCGATTGCTATGCTGGATGAGTATCATTCCCACACTACCGGATGAGTATCATTCCTACACCACTAGCACATTGAACCTAGTTAGCCTTCGCAGTAGCTGCCAATGGATGAAGAATTTGTTGGGAAAAAAAACTTATAGAACCTCAATCTTTTCCCATTTAAAATAAAATCCAACAGAACCAGTGAATTTTTTTGTTATCTAAAATAAATAGAGTATGATCATCTCTTGTTTCACCAAAGGGATGATAATGAAAAGCTCATTGAAACTTCAAAAGGGGTTATCTGATAACCCCTAACTGCAAGGGGGTTTTAGATATTTTGGAAGTTATGGGAAGTTATCTGATAATCGTCCATAGTTAAGCGGGGCTTTCTAATATTTAGCCTTTTTTTAATATTGATATTTTGGTCCATAACCTCCTACACAAACAACTGTTTTTAATTTTGTATAATTTTTTTTGAAGTTTGTAGATATTTTAAACTCTTATTATAATGAAAAACAATGGATTAATAGCCACAATTGTTCTCAACAACAAAAAAAAAACTATTTGTAGAAGATTATGCACATCAAAATTGATACCTGGAATTAGCAGAAGTAACTCCTGAAGCTGCTACAGTGCTTCCAGGAATAATTGTATACGAACCCTAAGCCTAGTTGGATTCAGAGATGTTCTTATAAATCATCAAAATACTCGTTCATCAATTAATTAAACAACTAGATATACACATCAATACTATGCAATTCAACATCGTTTTCAGACTTTCTTACCCTTAAAACTATAGGATTTAATGAGACAATATGAACATCAAACCTTCGATAAATATAGATCGCCACAGCGGTGAAATACTAGTTGCAGTACTAAGGAAACTCTGAATTCCCAACAAAAGTCGAAACAAGTATCGTGTGCATAAAAGCATGGAATGATCCAATCTCGATATCGAATATGTCTAGAAAAACAATATTAAAAACAGATCCAAATATAAGCAAAACAATCCACATAGGAATAAGGAATAAACCAGAGAGTTAACAAAACTATTACTGATAAACTTAAAATTTGAGATACTTTACAGAAATGTCGAATCACTCTAAACAGAGGAGTAACCTTGAAGAAATTATGCCCCACCTACAGTATCATTAGGTCTGCACAATACTTCTGAGGATGAGATGACAGCAGTCCAAAGAAGCGCTCTCTTCTTTTGAATACCTCGACTACAATTTTACTTCGTCGGAATCCTCAATATCAGTAGCTTATTAAATTGTAAAAGAAGACAAGAGAATAATTCATTTTAATTTTTCTGTGTCTCTCAAATGAACAGAGGAGGTCCTCTATATAGGGTTCAGGTGAGCTAAGGGGTTAGATAAGGATATGAATGCCAGTTATTGCAACATTTGTAACATCTGCTATAACTATCATTAAAATCTTATAACGTTCATAACATATGAAATGTTCAGGCTGGTTAAATGCAGCACATGCAAAAAGGGCACACGCCGGACCGCGCCCACGAGACCGTGCACATGAGCCCGTTCGCTCGTGCCTGCAAGCACTTGCCCACTCGCTTATATACCAACACAAGTGTACATTTCTAAACCTTTGTTATCCCATATATAACTCGTATGTTAACTTGAACCAATTAAAATACATCCAATTATCAATGTGGGACTAAAACTCACATACTACTAATTAAATACCTTTTAATTTTTATCTATGAAATCCAACCATATAAATAGTATCCTTCCATATAAATCCTCCATTATTCATTTATATCAACAATCCCTCACAATTCGCTAAAAATAAAGAAGAGCATAGGTATCATACTTTTGGAGAGGGTATCGTCCAATTTGAACTTTCTCTATAGTTATCCAATTTTATCACCACATGCACGAAGTGAAACTAAGTCTTAAACTTGAAACTTTTGATGTGGTGATATTTATTGGTAACAACACAATATAGGTTATAGTAGCAATCTTTAGGTTTGATGCATTATGGTCATGTGTCCTTACCTTTTCATGAACATTTTTAGGAATAACCTACTTCCTATAATTATAGCGACACAATTATGTTTACATAGTTGGGCATCTCCGGTGATGCAATGCTTTCATCTTGTTTTAAAGACTTGATCTCATTCAGAGTCAAAACACTCTTACTATACTAGCAATTAACAATACCTTCCAGGTATACATGATGATAGACTCGGATAAAAGGTATCAGTCTACTATTAGGTGTTCAACTCACAACAGTTTGTTGTTACCACATTAAACCTACTTTGTGGGATCTCCAGTCAGATAAGTTGGGTTGCTACCTTCAATGAATTAGGAAAGGGTTTCAATCCCATTATCAATTTGGATTTAAGAACAAGTGATAACTCGAGTCCTTTTGTAAAGGGATCTGCTGTGTTGTCCTTAGACTTGACAAAGTCCATAGCAACTACCCCTTCATCAACAAACTTTTTCACGATCTTTATCCGTACTTGGATATGACCTCGAGTCTTGCGGTTACACTTTAAACTTTAATCCTTGCAATTATGGTTATATTGCCACAATGCACAGAGACTGCAGAAATAAGCTTGTTGATCATGGGCAACTCGGACATAAGTCCCTTAAGCCATTTAGCTTCTAAATCAGTATGTCTAAAGCACATAGCTCTGCCTCAAAAGTAGACTAAGACAAAATGGTTAGTTTAACAGATCTCCAGGTAATAGCACCGCCATCCAAGATAAATACATACAATGTATAATTATTGCTACCTGAACCGACATAGTGTGGTTGTAATAGAGTGATTGTGTACGTTGATCGGTGAGCGTTGAAAACCGACATAGTGTGGTTGTAAACGTTATTCGGGTGAGCGTAGAAAACCCGATCGTGATAGTGGATTTCTCCCCGGGAGTGGGGAGCGGAGACGTAGGACGGAAGGTCCGAACTCCGTGATCATTTTAATTGTGTTTGAGTGTGCTTTGGCGTTTATTCTTATTTGTGCTCATTGCTCATATCGCCATTGTCTCATTATTTACTTTGCTCACTATCT